TAAGTTTTCTAAGTCATTCCAAAATTTATCTTTAGAGCCTGTATCTAAACCTACTTGAGGAGCATAAACACTTATAATATTAAAAATAGTATATATTATTAAAAATCTTAGCATTAATGATAATCTTAAGGGTTATAATTCTATCACAAACTCTATTAATTTTTACAACATTATCTTTCAAACTCTTATCAATAATTACAACCACACCATTTCTAGTGTTTCAACCCTTTTAGTTTCTTAAATACATAAGATATTAATTTCCTATGAATCATAATATCAACTAATTCTATTAATTTACCATTGAGAGTACCTATATTCCAAGATCCTATCATAATATTAGTTTCATTAGTTTCATGGACTAACTACTTTACCGACATTCGTCCGTAATACGATAACCCTTGCTTATTTGACACTACACTCGGACGCCGATGTAGCGGCCCTTGCACACTTTTCACTGTATTCAGACTATACAGCGCATCGCTTTCAGGGGACGCTCTAACACTTACACAATGATAAAAAAGATTCATGTCATAAATTTTTTCTACAAATTTTACACTAATTATCGACTACTTAACTCAACTCTCTACTTTTCAAATCCGGGCTTCTGGTTGTCGACTACCTAATGCAACTCTCCACTTTTCAAATTCGGGCTTGAGACCGGATATTAATTATTCTATAATTATTTATTAATGTAAGTTTTGAATGAATATTTGGAGGGGCGGTCAAAATGTTATTTATATAGAGCGCGTTCCGATGTCTCTTTTGCTCGCTCCTCGGTGACGTCCACCCGCAATCTGCTCCACCCTCTCGTCATCTTCTTCTTTTGCCACTTGAACCACCACAAGGTCCACAACTCCCGGTTTCTCCCAAACACCCTCACCCTCTCTGCCTAAAAGCCTCGCTTATGCTTCTCCCTCCCCATCCTTTTTTCGCCCAAAACTATCGCCTTAGTGACAGAACCCTCGTGATACAGTCGCCATTAGAGCTAACTGAGAAGGCAACGACGGGGATCGCGGCGTACACAGATTTAAAACCCCCATCTTTCTCCTCTTTCCGCCCCGCTTCTACTCGAAATGATGGACGAAGATAGCCGGATTTACTAAATCCGCCAATTCACGGGATTTAAATCCATTACCAGACTGTCGGAGCCCTCGACCCGTCCAACCCTGGGATAATCTTCTTCGGGAGAAAGACGCTGATCCCAAAAAAAATGGTCCGAGAAGGCTCTTCGGACGACGAGGACGATAACCAGGCTCTCGTCCCCCAGCACGAGGTGAAACCTCTCTCGCCGCACCACAACCACCGCCAATTCGCCGCATTAGGGATCGCCGACGACCTTGCAGTCCGGATCGGCCGTCGGGTTCGCTCTCGTCGATGGCAGTGGTATCTCCTCGCAATTTGCCTTCCCCTTGTTCTCATACTCGTCTTCTTCTCCCTCGATATCGGCCGCATCTTCCGTGGCGTCACTATTATTCGTGCGGACTCTCCTGGGGACAGTATGCGGGAGGCCGAGCTTCGGGCACTCTCCCTCCTTCGCAATCAGCAGCTAGGGCTTATGCATCTGTGGAATCGTACCATTACTTCCCCTCCAAGTAATAGTTCAAGCCCTGCACCTGTTAAAGACGATTTGCCTAGCATTCCAGTTTCGGCCTCATTGGAGGAGTTTAGATCCGCACTGCTGGAGCAGATCAAGCTTAACAATCAGATCCAGGCAACATTACTAGCTGCTCACAGTGGCAGAAATGGCTCACTTAATTCCATGGATGACAATGTGGACGCCTATTTTTCTGGCGCTAGGGCTGATGTTTGTAGGAAGGTAGATCGATCCGCAGAAAGGAGGACGATCGAGTGGAAGCCAAAGAAAGACCGCTTTTTGTTTGCAATATGTATGTCAGGTCAGATCTCCAACCATTTGATATGCTTGGAGAAGCATATGTTCTTTGCTGCACTTCTTGGTCGAGTTCTTGTCTTCCCAAGCCATAAAGTGGACTATGACTACAGCCAAATTTTGGACATTAATCACATAAACCAGTGTTTAGGTAGGGAAGTTGTCCTCTCTTATGATGATTTTGTGATGAAGATGAAGAATAAGTTGAAGATCGATAGGCTCATGTGTTACATTGCAAACCCTCCATGTTATCTTGATGAAGAACACATCAAGAGATTGAAGAATTTGGGGATTTCTCTGGGCAAGATTGAGGCTGCATGGCCTGAAGATGCGGAGTTAAAGGTGCAAAAGAAGAGGACTGTAGCAGATATTATGCCTAAATTCTCTTCTAATGATGAAGTGATTGCAATAGGGGACATGTTTTATGCTGATGTGGAACAGGAGTGGGTTATGCAATCCGGTGGTCCTATTGATCATAAATGTAAGGTTCTAATTCAACCAAATCGGCTGATCCTCCTCACTGCACAGCGGTTTGTGCAGACATTCTTGGGAAGCAATTTTATAGCATTACATTTTCGAAGGCACGGGTTTTTGAAGTTCTGGTAATTGCTTAAACTTGGATCATGCTTCTTCAAATTTAGTTTTTAAAACTTATGAACTACATATCAATCATCCTATCTTCCCAGGTTGCTGAATAAAATCTGTGACAGTTTAATCTATAGAAATTTCATACTTAGTTTTTACTGGGTTATCTAGTTTATTTGTTAGGTCAGTGTCTAATTTTTATGTTATAATTTACAATGGTGTTGGAAATTGTAATTCAAACATATATTTGATGTAATGAACTAAGAGATATTTATTAAATGGTTATTATTATGCTTAATGATCAAATGCAAACTGGAACTCTCATGCATTCCTTTAAGATGATTGCTTGATTGGGCGGTGAACTTTTGATGTTTGCCGGCATTGAATCGATCAACTTTATGGTAGTGATTGCTGATCCTTTGATCCCATGCTTATCTTCTACCAGCAGAAGATATGACTTAGAGTTTAGAAAATCAGTTAAATTTAGTTACAGTACAAAACATGACTCCTGTAATTATTCAAACATATTCGGACATCTAAATATTTTAGAAACTTATTCATAGTTGTTTTAGGGCATTTACATGCATTGCACTCAATTCTTATGGATTTACATATCCCACACCAAAACATTCATTGTTACACCCGTAGCAGCCACTTCTTTCCTATCACAACAAAAATTTCACTAATTATACTTTTTAATGGTCAAATCCACCTTTTCTTTTACCACATAAAGTGCTATGTCTGTAAATATGAAAGTTTAGGTGTGAGATACGTGAATCAATAAGAATTGAATGCTACGTAGGTAAATTTCCCTTTTTTCTATCAGATTTTTTTTTTCTTATAAATCCTCTTTGTACTAAATAGGACACGATGGAGAAAAAGGATTCATGTAGCCGCCCCACATTGTGGGATTAAGGCTTTGTTGTTGTTGTATAAATCCTCTTTGTAGCTCTAAAAAAATTGCTATAATTTGATTTGAACATCAGGCAATAGCTTTTTATGTTTTGTTCTTGGTGATATTGTTTTGACTTGTTTTCCTGCTAGGTAGTGGAATCATTACTTGCATTTATGTTGAACTCATCTGACAATTGATGTTCTAAAATTTCCAGCCATTGGCCTTGTGTTGAATGTTTTTCTTATAGTTGTTATCTTCTACACTATGTTACGATATGGATCATTTGATAAACTGTGATTTTAAGTCCTCGCCATACATAAGATTGTCTAGAACAGCCATTGTACCATAGTTGGAAGTGCAAAGAGTGAATGAAATTAGGAGAACCTGAAACCGGAAGCCGTTTCATTGAATAAAAAATAACAACTTTGTCATGAATATTTTATTTTAATTGTATTGGCATAAATAACGTATGAGATGGTTTCATCTTTTGAATACAGCCTTGTAAATTAATATTCAAATCCTGCATGAGGAGGTAGCTTTCTGTATATGTATTTCAACAAAATCTAGGATGCTGAAGATGGAGTCAAAACTCATAACAAATTTTTGTTTGGAAGTGGTACGCTTACTTTAGGACAAAACTTGATTTGTGATGTTTGATTTAAGAAATCAGAGATATTGGATTATGCCTATTGATCAAGGGTGGTTGAATTATGAATGGTAGAACTTTATTTTTTAATATTCACCTAACTATACGCAGTTGATTTTATGAATTTTTATTTTTTTATTTGTTCTTTTTCTATGTTTAATAAGGTTTTAAGCATGTTATGTTTACCAAGACTTCTCAGAACAGAGACTTAAATTCTTGGAAAAAATAAAACTCTTAGAAATCACATTCCATAACAGTTTATTGGTTACGTCACCTTGGAGAACTTCGTTTCCTACCTCATTGAAGCATGAATAGTTGGAAACACAGCATGACTAGTGAAACACACAAAAACAAGCCCAAAAGTTGTAGGCAGTCCACCCAAATTAAGGACTCACCCCTTCATTTGAAATTCAGTTTCAGTCACTCCAATCCAAAGCAAAGAACACATCAAATCATTGTTACCACCACCCCTCCGGTTGAGATTGAAGCAAGACCATCTAAATTCTTGATACCATGTTGTTGACAAAACAATCAGCACAGAGATTATAAAAGAGAGTACTGTTTTCCTTTGACCGTGTGACAGAAGCTGGAACTCTAAATTGGGGAATAGATTATTAAATTCATCACCCTCCAGTATCAAAAAGCTAACTGCAACGGGATAAAACTCTATATACATGAAAATGGCGACAATAATTCTTCATTTATAAAATGTCTGAATAGCTTCTGATGTGTGGGTCGGCGTCCATGCAATGCTGGACGAGTAGACCGGTGTAGAAGCATACTATGGCAACCAAGATGAAAGGAGCAAGGCTTATCCATCCTCTTTCTCAGGGCACATATGGTACTGACAGCATAACAATTCTTGATGGAACAAAGAACGGGGCAAAGAAAACTATTTGAAACAGTTTAATTGATTAAAAATTTTGACATGCATGAATAAATGATTGGAACTGTTAATTTCATGTAATTTTTTTCGCTCGTTGTATGTATATTTTGTTTTGATTGCACATACAAAATTGGAAATTTGTCCTCTTTGGACCCCCCTTCCCTTGATGGTGAGAAGTAATGACACATGATTATAGAAAAGATCACCTATAACCTCCTACCCCTTTTTAATATAGCCAACACTATCTACAAATCAACCATATGACAGCACATTCATTAAGTGAAGATGATAGAAAATAAGTTTTAAATGTCCTTAGTGTAGCACAAAATACTTTTAAATTTTATGTTTTATTTGGATATGCCACATCAAATGCCAAATAAGGCATTTAGCTTCAGGTTGGAATTTCTTTTTAAAAAATCTAATGTTCATATATGAATCAACAACATTTTCAATTATAATAATCAAATACTTGCAGATGAGTTGACATACATCGCTCTGTTTTTGTGGTCTTTATTATGAGTGCCATATTCTAATTCATACAACCTATATAATCACACCTTATAGGATCGTTGCTTTGATAGGTTGATTTCACTTTCCTTTTTTTTATTCAATTATGCTCTTCCTAGTTACATAGCTGTATAAAAAATATATGTTTCTAACATAAGCCTAAGAGTGTGACCATATTTTTGTTTGTATTTACAGGTATGCATCAGCTTAATGGGTGTATTCTCTTTATATTTTTATCTATACCTACACAAGTGCTTGTACTTGCTAAAACACACATTCAAACATGCAGAAGTGCACACTGGAATTGACCGCTTTTGCACACAAGTACAACCATATTCCAAATTAGAACAGTTGCTATATCCTTTTCTATGCCATATCTCATATCATTGAATTATTTTTTTATAAACTGTTTTCTGCATGTAGTGCTGACAGGACAATGTGTACATTGCCTTGCTAGTGACTCACTATTATGAGTTGCTGTTAACAATGATACTTTTTAAAATTTCATCTGATAGCGTGATTTTCATTAAAATTGTGGTTTTATTCTTTTGATATTTTCAAAATTTAACCATCCAAGAGCTGAAGATCTAACCCAATGGAAGAAGAGAATAGAAATGATCTCAGGGTTAGGGAAAGCTAAATCATATTTTTGTGAGGTGCTAAGGTTAATTCCTGCAGGATAAATTCATTAATTGCTTATTCACCAGTTTCAACTACCTAAATTAACTAGGCAAAGGGCGTGAGTGAGATTTTAAGGCTGCTTTCGTGGGGTTGGAAAACCAGAAAAATTTTAAGGGATATGGTTCAGGTGATTTACTTTGATTTTTATGAAGATGTTTAATAAGCCATCTTTGCTAAAAAATTTAAAAACTATCACGTTATGTATGCTCCATTTCGTTTTCTCCATAATTGCAGGACTCTTTCTGTGAAAATATTAATTCATTTAAAGTTTCCCACTCACTATTTGTTTTGCATTTTTGCATGACTTCAGCAATGTGAAAAAGGAAAGTTGCTTCTATCCCATTCCCCAGGCTGCTAAGTGTATCCTCAGAGTAGTCGAGCGAGCCAACGCTCCCGTGATTTATTTGTCCACAGATGCTGCCGAAAGCGAAACAGACCTTCTGCAATCACTGGTTGTTTTGGACAGTAAGCCAATTCCTTTAGTCAAGCAACCGAGCCACACTAGTGTCGAGAAATGGGATGCCTTGCTGTACAGAAACCATATCGGCGGAGACCCCCAGGTTAGTTCCCTCCGATTACAATCCTCATTTATAGCAGTGATTTGAAAGTAATGCGAAAAATTTTCATGCATAGCACACAATTTTTATGTATTTATATCTCACACCTAAACTTTCATATTTACACATTCATATATTACTTTGGTGCTTTAAACTTACGCATGAAAAGGTGGATGCCATTTTTAAAAACTGGTAATAGGTATGTTATTGATGCGATATTAAATATTTGAGTGCAGTGTGTGTAAATATGAAAGTTTAGGTCTGCTATACGCAAATACATAAGAATTGTGTGATATGTATGCAAATGCCCCCAAATAATAATTTAAAGCTAGTTTAAAGCTATTAATTGTGTTCATCTTTTTGTTTCGCTTCCTTAAGGTTGAGGCCATGCTGGATAAGACGATCTCGGCTATGTCGACTGTATTCATAGGCGCCTCCGGATCAACATTTACTGAAGATATTCTACGACTAAGACGAGGATGGGGAGTTGCGTCGCAGTGTGATGAATATCTTTGCAACGACGAGCTTCCGAATTTTATTGCTGAGACTGAATGAGAACTATGGAGCTGACAATCACCTCTCTTCATAAACTTTAGGCCCTCACTTTATGTACTTTAACTTTCTTTATTTGGCTCCGTATATTTTTCCATGTAAATTGATGTGTGCAAGGGTGTGCAGCGTGTGCTCTTTACTTGTGCTTAGAGGACATGGTATATTCATTATTTTTTATAGAGTGCCATTCATCCAATTTAGCATTTTGGGCGTGATTTTCAGTCTTAGATCTGAAAGAGATGGAAGTTGTAGAAAAAGGTTGATTGTTCTACTTTGAACGGCCATTTACCTACAAACTACACAATTCTTAAGTATTTTCATATCTACGTCCCAAACATTCTTAATATTTGCTTGTATCCCACTCAAATATTTAACATCACATCAACATAACACCGCCAATGCCTTTTTAAAAGTGAAATACTCTTTTTTTTGCATAAATTTTATGGCATCAAGTGTTTTACTTGTAAATATCAAACATTGGGTGTTAGATATGTAAATACATAAGATTTGTGTGGTATGTATGTAAATTTCCCTACTTTGAAAGTGTAGTTTCAGATTACTGTACCACTGCAGAATTAGTAGAACTCAATTATAAGCTTTTACGGAGTAAAGATTTTTGAGAGAAAAATAACTTTTCATTATCAGCTTTCAAAATTAACGTGCTGTTTGGTTGGCTGTCTTAGTAGTGTGCTGTAAATCAAATACCTCAATTTTAAAATATTCATGCTTGGTATACTGTAAACTATATTCATTATGAATTTTCAGGGTACTTAAAATTTACCGCAATCTTGCTTTCGCGTGTAAATTAAGGCTCTGTTTGGGGCGACTTTTCTCACGCGGCGCGACAACAAATCGCGAAAACTTACTGTTTGGCTCCCGGCTTCGCGGCAGAAGGTCGTCAAAGCGGGCGGAAAGCGGGCCGCCGGATCAACCCCGCAGCCCCAGCTTTCGCCTGCTAAATATTTGTGATTGCCGCCTCTGCCCTAGCATTCTTTTTCCCGTGATGCCTCGCCCCTCGCCTTCGACCTCTCGCCTCTCGCCTTCGACCAGGACCGCGCCCTTTCCTCTCGCCTTCGACTAGCCCTCTCGCATCTTGCCTTCGACCAGGGAATCGATCTTTTCTCGCCTTCTCTTGTTTTCTTAAGGTAATCGATGAAAATATGGAGTTCATTGCGATCTCCTCTCATTTGTTTTGCGATCACTTGTTTTCTCGATCTCTTGCAGTGCAAGCCTCTCAAGATAAAAATCTGCAGATTTGATTTCCATCATTGGAGGGGCTTTTCATTTATTTTCTGCTATTTTTTTTTCTGCTGTGCAAAATGGATGTAGAATGCAAATTTGATCTCCAACCTGAAATATATCACTCTGAATAGTTGCTTGTATTGTAAATTCCAATTGAATGAAAAGTTTTAACAGATTTGTTCCGTAGGCTTCCAACTCCCTTGTCTGATTTCCATTCATTAACAGTTTTGACCCAATTCAAGAATAAATCTGTGAGTTTTATTTTCTCAAATAATTTTGCAGTGCAAGCCTCTCTAGCATCCTTCACATTTTTTAGAAAATGTATTTTTAATTTGTGCATCTCGCTCATATTTTCCAACTCCCCAATCCTATAAACATTCTCAAATAGTTTTGTCGTGCAAGCCTCTCTGATCAATCCCTAACATTAATTTTACTCTTGCGTTTCATGACTTTGTTCTGTTATAGTAATAACATGGATAATAAGCGATGTTGCTACACCCGCATTGTGAGAAAAAGACACGAAAATAATATTTTGTGATCTTTGTATCAAAGAGATTGAACAGGGAAATCGGTCTACGACCCATTTCAATAAAGAAGGGTGACAAAATATTATAAAAATTTTCAAGGAATGTACAGGCAGGGAATACGACATATTACAAAAGAAGAACAAGTGATACCAAATGAAGAAGGAATGGAAAATTTGGAAGGAGTTGAAAAGGGGTTCTACCGATCTTGGTTGGGATCCAGTGGAGCGAACAGTTGATGCACCTGAGAAATGGTGGGCTGACAGACTTGCGGTGATCTTTGTTTGTAAACTTCTTTATTTTGTAACTTTCTATTTTTTTCTAATTGGGTGTCTATCAATTTCTGTGTTAGTGGTGCCTGCTGCAAAAAAGTTTAAGCTTTCTGGAATTGAGCCTGAATTGGAGGAGAAACTAGACCGCATGTTTGGGGGAGTGGTTGCAACAGGTAACTATGCATGTAGCCCAAGCGAGACAGGATTCGCTGACAATGCCGTGAATTTGGGAACCCCTGGAGGTTCAGTTGATTTCCTTGACGTCCCCAGCCCAGATTATAACGAATATGAAACTATTTCCCGTTCCAAACGTCTGAGGGTTGTTGATAAAAAAAATCAGGTGCTTCTTCCCTCAGAAACGACTATCCAAGGCGGTTTTTTGTTTCAAAGCAGAATGTCAGGCTTCTCATTCAAGCACTATCGTGGAGGCACTTGAAATCCTAAGTGCAACAGCCGAAATTTATGCAGATGAAGAGTTGTATATGTTCGCAACAGAATTGCTACAGGCCCTGATTCGTAGGTCCATAGAAATTTCTTTGTGCAGATGTCTGTCACCCGCAGAGTGGCATATATTCAGCGTTTTTATAATCATTTGAACAATTGATATTTTTTATATTTTTCATCACTAGAACATTTACACTGCATCATCTATTTTTTTCTTTCTAGAGTTACCCTTGTGAACTCTCTTGTACCTCCGTGATATGCCTCCCTATAATTTTTCGAAGCACGTACAGATAGTCTTTGCTACAATGGCTTTTCATAATTACATAAGAAGACATCATTCCCGTAGCGATATCAACTTCCATTTAGCGGAAGAGGATGAAGAAATTGTGCCTTCGGAAGCATTTGAATACCAGCTAGGTCAGTCTTTCACAGAAGAAGAGATCGAGGCTTCCATTGCCTTCACTGTAGATGGGGAAAGATGGGGAAGCACTGTAGATGGGGAAGGTGCAAGCGAGTGACAGAGCTGAGGGAACGAATTACTGATGAGATAATATGTCTATGAATGAAGAATTTGAGAATTTATTAGTTGAATATTATTAAAAATATTGCTACACTGATTTTTATTCAACTTCATATTTATCTATTCAACTTCATATTTATTTTTTATTCAACTTCATATTTATCTATTCCGTTGTTTTCTTTTTTTTAGTTTTAGACCTGGGAACTATATGAAAACCATTGAGCTACTTTTTTTGATACTGCGATATCTTGCAGTATTTTTTTAGCACCAATGATAATGCTGAAAGTAGTTAGTTGAAAGTAGTTAGGTTTCTAGCATAAGATCTTTATGCATGAGTTCACATTTCTCACACCTAAATGTAAGAAATATTTTGTGATTAAATTTACATATATAGCACAAAATTCCCAAGGTTTACATAAATAACATAAAAATCTTATATATTTACATATGTTTTTGATGTTACAACGGGCCAAGAAAGATTTGAAGATCAAATATATTTACATATGTTTCCAACCAATGTTTCCTGGTTGTAAATAGTTTTAAGTTCATGAATTTGCATTTATAAAAAAGTTAATTTTACTACTGCTTTCTATTTCCTGTTAGTAAACAGTTTTAACTACATGGTTTTGTTTTATAATAAAGTTGATTCCCAAGCTTTACATACATAGCACAGAATTCTTATATATTTACATATGTTTTAGAGCACATAATTCTAATATATTTTAGAGCACAAAATTCTTATATAAAGTTAATTTTACTGCTGCTTTATTTTACATACCACACAATATTTAAGTTCAGAATTCTTGTTCCGTTGAATTCAAATCTGATTTGAATGGTGTAAATATAATAAGCAAAGTTTAGCTTAAAATTTGATTTGAGTGGTGTCTTTTACAGCATTCTTTTTGTTTAAAATCTGATTAGAATGATGATTTTTATGTTTAAATTGGAGGGGTTAAAAGAGAAATGAATTTTTGAATATCCTAAATTTGTGATGAAGCAGAATCACTTATATTCTACATTTTTTATGTTGTTTTGGGCTGCTACTACTAGGTTGAGCAGTCATAAGATGAACCATACCAGTAAGTTGAAAATTATGGGTTTTATCTTGTACTTTGACAGTTGAGTGAGATTGTGAGAAATGATTGAGTATTGGTGCTAGGTTTGTAAATGTTTAGCTATTTTAAACATCATCATAAATCATTGTATTGTAGTCTGCTCTTCAAAATTATCATTTTAATATATATAATTAATGTTAAGATCAGAATATTCTGGAATTAATATCAGTTTTAATTAAACAAAAAAATTTTATTTAATTTTTTTGTTCATGCGCTATAGCAGCATTAGGGGAAAGTAGAAAGACAAGCATCAATTATTATGTGGTGATGTGCTTTAAGAAAATTATATATAACGTTATATAATTATTCATATTTATATACATATAAAGATATATAAAACATGTATCATTAATTGTCCCATCTCATAAGCCCCTTCCTGTGAGCTACAGTAAGACCAAAACATAGAGCAGTTTGGGGAAAGTGAAGAAAAAGATTATATGACATTCAGAGTGTATTTATAATCAGTGTTATGAAATCACCCTATTTTAAATATCCCTATGCAGGAATAATTCCATAACACTTTAATGAACAAGGGTGCATGTATTGTAATTATCAATGTTTGTAGTGCTATATTTATAAGTTGCCCTAGCTGTACTCAATTATTTTTGTTATATGGAGCTGAAACATGATCATTTGCAAACATACCACTGCATTTACATACATACCGCTACTGATACATGCCCTTGGATCCCGATATGAAGCTGAGGTTTTTCTATTATTAGTATGTTCTAGGAATTTTGATTCTTAACTAGCGTTGATTTTTCTTTGTGGCAGTTAGAAGTTTGGTGAGTAGGATTCTCACAAAGTTCTGACTGATTTATTAATGGTACTGACATGAAGGTTTGTCCCAAGTAGATGAGATGGATGCTTTGATATCCAAGCCTTGTTCTTCTCCACGTATATCAGTTTGCTGGCATTGAATTTTCCACAACTTGACAATTTTAATTTAATTTTATAGTTAAGCTTAATTTTTTGTTGAATTGTAATGGAATTTGTCACAGTTTTGGGCTACCAAACAATATTTTGTATTCTTCTGAATTTTGATTATTTTATTTGTGATGTTATGTAAAGAAAGTTTGTTTTGATTGTTTTTGTTATTTTTGCTATGTTTTTTTTTAATGAAACGTAAAAATTGTGTGGTATGCATGTAAATTTCTCTAAATATATTTGAGGGAGGAGCTTAGATGAGTTGAGTTAAAGGGCAACTTTAGACTTCTTTTAGAAGTGAGGATATATGAACTTTTTGTTCTGTTTAGAAATGAATTTATGTTTCAGAAGTTTAAAAAATATAGTTGTTACAGTCTTCTTTTAAACAGTTTTAACAAACAGGGGCAACATGTTCATTTCTTCAGAAATAGCTGTCCCACAACTGTTTTCACACAGCTACACCAAACAGACAGTCAGTTTCCTCGCATCAGCTTCCTGGGCAGCGCAGCTGTAGCTGAAAAGCTGGGAAGCTGCAACTGCGCCAAATAGAGCCTAAGTCCACTCAAATTGAAAAGGAAGTACACCGCATTCCCTTCACTCTCGCTCCCACGAAATCCTTTTTCGGACAACTCTTTGGCTGAGATGAATCCATCTCATCCTCGTTGAAATCTTTGAACACTTATCCACGTTTATGCCTAGGACATTAACATGAATATTTTTTTTGATACTGCATCGAAGGTTGCCCTAACCTAAAAATGCTTTTAGCATACTTGATATCTGAACGAGACGTATGATGACTATCCTACCACAGTCGTGCCTGGAAATTTATGCGAAGAATCTCTTGAGACTACAGTGAAGGTCCCCCGGTATAGAAATTATTTTGATAGATTTTGTGTCTGAATAAGATGCGGGAAAATTACGCTACCACAATCATGCCTTAGACTGCGCTCACATCAAAGAGCACAAAGAAATGATCTTCAAGAGGTGTAAAGGAGGTTTTTTTTTTCCAGTTGGATGATGTGTATCATTAAAAATTGAAGCACATACTCGATGTCTCATAGTTGATGACAGTGCCAATGGGGAATTTGTTCCCCTAGACAGTGCTAAATTGATGCATGCCTAAAGGTTCACAGTAATAGAGAAATGAATTATAGTCTTAACGTTGAATGAAAATCCAACAAAACTCAGGTAATTATAGAGAATTAAGTAGGAGAAGATACCTTGATTTTTTATGTGGAAAAACATAGGAAGGGGAAAACCCAAGCTGTCTAACCTAGTTGAAATATTCCATTTACACGAGTTCACTCTTCTCTTGAATTAGAATTCAAAGATAGAGTTACAAATATGATCATTATAAATGTACAACAACAGTTCATCAATAATAGTCGTAGTTTGGCTAAATGAATATAGTTATCAGTGATAACAAGCTGTAGAACCATAGTTGATTACAATGAAGACAGTAGTCTGCTACGAATATTGTAGACGATGAATGTAGTACCAACTTGCGATATAAGTCATAATTGATTTGAAAATCTATTAATAATCCATCATTAATAATATTGAATCTTTTTTTTAATTTTTTTTTAATTTGATTTTATTTGAAATTATTATTTCTCTTTAATGATAAGTGAGCTGTCTCATAACATAACTTGAATTTGTAGAATGATCTTTAAACTTGGAGTGTTTTGAGATTATAACCACCCAAGTCCTTTGTCATCATTAACAACTCACTGGCCTTCTCCTGAATGAACCTCCATGTCTCCTCCACATGCCGTTTCTCCGTCAACGTGGTGCCAACCGCAAAACGCAGCACAAATTGCCCGCCAACAACCGCATGGGTCATGAATGCCCGCCCACTTTCGTTCACCGAATCAAGCAACCTCCTGTTCATCTCCCAACATTTCCTCCCCCCATCCTCATCAATATCTTTTAGCCACACCAAATCGCCTGATGACTCCCCAAAGCTTTATTGCACGAAACCTACGACTCAGTGCGATCTGCCAATCTTTGTAGTCGATCACACCGCCATCTTCGCTTGCACTGTTTGTCAATATATCCGACTTGATCGATAACGAGTCTACGAGTTTCGCGGCACATCTTACCTGAGATTGACATTAAAGCATTCACTTGATTTAACTTAATCTTCATCATATTCAAATTGATCCCAACAAATGCATTAATTATAAAACTCACCCAAAGGCAACAACAGTCCATGTTCGCGAGCAGCCATTTATGCGGATTGAAGCTAAAGGAATCAGCCGTCTCCAGTCCATCAAAGAACCGCCGGAACTCAGGGCAAATCCCAGCGCTCCCCGCACACGCCGCGTCCACGTGAAACCGCGCCCCGAACTCCCTCGCAAC